TGCAGATGCACCACCGCCACCGCCTCGGCCCACGACACGCCACAACCACCACAACGAGCGCAAATGTGCTGATTGGAGGGGCCGGCCAAAAATGATATATAATTTTGGGCCGAATGTACCAGGAATTGCGACCGGGCGCGCAGCTCGAGGAAAGGCGAGTGCTTTTTTTCGGAGCGCTGCGCGGGGCGGGCACCTCGTGAGAGGCATGACCACGGGGTGGTCACAGCGACAGGGCGATTGAGTGGTGGAGATCGCGCCTCCGCGCCGCGGCGGCGTCGGAGCCGAGCCCTGCTCCGCCATGACGCGTCCGTTTGGGTCACATCTTTGCAGCAAATTGGCCATTAAACAACATTGTTCTGGGCAAAGGCAACAGCAAGTCACGGTCACGACAGGCCGCCCCTCCCGCCTCCCTGTCCCGGCCGGTGTGGCGCGGCGCTGCTGCAGCGCTGCTGCAGCCGGGAGAGATTCGGCCGTCAACAGTCATCGAGAAAACCAAAAAGAAGAGAAGAGAGTAGGAAGATGATCCGGCGGATGAGCCGCTCAGGCCAACCGCGTTTAGTCATCATAGAGTTCAATAAAGCGACTATAGAAGCGGCTGTAGCCCCCCCCCCTTTTCCCCCTAATCCTACGGACGCGGACTGAGATGTAAAACCAGTCGGCAGCACTGTCGAATACGGTCCGCGTTGGGCCCCACCGCGGTTCAGCCCCACCCCGCCCCACCCCTCCCCGCCGCACCCCGCCCGCCCAGACCCAGGCGGAATGCGCTTGTTCCTGCGAGAGACCCAAGGGAACCCAGGGGACCCCTAGCTCTGCAACTAGCCTTGGATTCCTGCGGCGTTCCACGAAACCGCCGACAGCACGCTCCAGCCAGGCCCCGGCGGGCTCCGGCGAGGGTCCGCGGCGGAGCTCCCGGAGGAGTGAGACCAGACCCTCACACGATACGCGCGTGATGCCCGAGGCCGCCGCAGGACGACACAATCCCCATCCCCCGTGCCCCGAAGCAACCCCCGCGGCATCCCGAATGACCACGGGCAAAAGGCAAACACAAGGTAGACACATAAGCCGGCATTTGACACGAGAGAAAAGAAAAATCAATGCCTTCTTGCACGAGAAAAAAAAATGGCTTTTTTAACCCTCAACTTACGTCGGGTAAAGAGCATTTCTGCTCCTGAATTACGCCAATCGAGCGCCAAAGCTGCGGTAGCGGCAAACCGCGTTCCGAGAAATCTTTCGAATGCTTCCCGCGAAAGTCCTAAGGAGTTCAGCGGAGGAGATCCGCGAGAAGGTCCAGTCCAACGCTCGGCTCCGCTCGGCTCGACCCGACTCGGCCTGGTTTGGCTCGGCTCGCCTCCCCCGAGCCGTCCCGTCCCGTCCTCGGGATGCGGAGCACGGCCGAGCACGACCGGACGGTCACGAGCGTCAGCCTTACGGTCATTGTCACGCTACCCACACCATTCCAGATTGTGGAGCATTTTTACACCGGATGTCCGAGCTTTGTTTCCCGCCGAGGGGCATTCTAGTGCGCGAGGTAGGCATCCCCACCAGGCACAGAGCAGCAGGTGGCGTCCACACCCACTGCGCGTCGAGGTGGTGCTTTAGAGCCCGGCAAAGCGAGAGAGCAGGGCGAACAATTAGGGGAACACGGTATTTAGAAAGAAAGTTATGTCCCGACAGAATCGGCCGGCACCGCGAGCAGCGCAGTGGAATAACGAGAATATGAGAGAGAGCGAGAGGGGGGGAAGAGGGGGGCGAGAGGAATGGAGTGAGAAAGAGTGTAAGGAAGAGGAAGAAGAAGAAGAAGAAGAAGAAGAAGAAGAAGAAGAAGAAGAAGAAGAAGAAGAGCCACGGCATGCGCAGAGGAGATATGGGGAAATGTGCAGAGAAATAGGCAGCGAGTCGCGGTAGCTCGCGCTGTGCTCATGGCAATGACCTTGCCTCGCTGAGCCGGCCGGCTCGTGGGGGCCGGGGCCGGGGCCGGGGCCGGCCGGGACCAGTGGTGGAGGGAGGCTGCACCGGCCGGCACGGTCACTCTCTGGACCCGCACTGACATCGGGGGCCGGTTAGGACCCAGAGGTGGCAATGCAAAAGGGCGCGGCGCCGACCGAACGGCTGTTCTCCTGGCCTCTGCTGCGAGTGTGCCAACGACCAGCACGACAGGCACACTCTCGCACACACTCACGCCAAAATAACTCTTGTGCTGTTTGTTTTAGAAGTTCAACTTTCGAATTTCGCAAAAAATAAACAAAATAAAAAGGGAGGGTACAAGTTGATTTAATTCATTTCTGGCTGTGGGTGTGCGCGGGGCAGTGTACTTGAAGGGCAGCGAAGTCTCATGACGAGGTCCCTTTAACGAGGAGGGGGTACGCCATGGGCTGCCATGGGCAGCAGCGCCATTGCCCGCCCGCCCCTCGGCCCGCCCCGCCGCGCATGTTGTCAGCAATCGGATCTCTGAGAAGCGCGCGGCGGCGGCGTGGCGGGGCGTGAGTCTCCTGCAAGGCCTGCAAGGCATGGGGGCCTCCAGAGGGAGCCTCCAGGCAGCCTTCAGGGGCCTGGGCGAGCCTCCAGGCCTGCATGAGCAGGGGCCGGAGCGAGCGAGGCGAAGGTGGCGTTGCGAGCCGTGATGCAGTTTGCTTGCCCGGTCTGGAGGGAGGGAGACGGAGGGAGATAGAGACATAGAGAGAGGCAGAGGGGCAGAGAGGGAGAGGGAGAGGGAGAGGCCGAGAGATGCGCATTAGGAAAGGAGGGATCAT